AGTGCGTTTTCAGTTTTTGATGTATAGTTTAAAACACGAGAGAGAGTGTTTTATCAGGTATAAAGATTCGAGCCGAAGGCGAGAATCTTTATACCTGATAAAACACGATCTCGAGTGTTTTAAACGGCTTAAAAAACTCCAACACTAATTTGAAACTCAAATCCGTTAAATTTCTTGGAGAAATTGCCGTACAAATACGTTCAGAGATAAATGGGGCAAACTGATCATGCGCGAATCACTTTACAAAGCACTTTTGTCATCCCACATTGAATACGCATAAAGTAAAAGAGAAGCGCTCTTGGCCGTTCACTGAATTCGATTGACATCCTGCATTGGTCAATGATCAGGTTTCAAACCTGAGACCTTTGCTAGGGTCATGGACCTTTATATCTGATAAAGGTCACCCTTATTAGTATTCTTTATATAAAGAATACTAATAAGGAGTGTTTTATCAGATATAAAGGTCCATGCATGTGACCAAATAGGCTCATTCTATTGGCCTAGTAGCTCATTAATTATGTATGACTTTTTTAACTCAATTTAAAATTCTAGTTCTAAATCGTTTTCGTAGAAGAAAATTTGTATAARTATAGTATAGAACAGTTTTTAGAAGAACAGACCTGGTCGGCTCCTCCTAATTTCATCTTACAGGGACGTGGTATACCGGCATCCATTACGAGCTTTTGTTTGTATTTGAAAATAATTATCGCAATATAAGTGACAAGTTATCACTTTATGCTCTGTAAAGGAGATATTGTCGATCATTAAACCTACGAATGGGAACAGATTGCGAATACATATTATCAAATTCATTAATAATTCATACGGTAAACACAATGGAAAATCATTGTCGTGACCGCATCTTTATATGAGCAAGAGATTTGTACTGATTTGAATACGACTTTAACTTCGATTTTCTCTTACAAAYGAYATTTTATGCTGAAGTTTTTTTCGAAATATGCTTTACCTTATGTTGGAATTTGATAAGCAATATAAAATAGTCGCGTCCCGCTTGCAGCTCGCAGTCCCATAAAGGTCTCCCGCTCATATTTTAAATATTACATAAAACACAATCTTTCGTTCTTTATGCACTTCTTTGAAATCACGTCATTCATCTCAATGCCGGTTGATTAAGGTTCTTTTTAAACCACTGACAACATCACTGACCATTACAGGGGATGGTACGTACTAAACACATGCCTACAGTAGGTGAACTCAAGCAGATGCAGGTGAATATAATTAATTATCGGGGTGGGGGGGGGGACATTGATACACCCTTCCGCGTCGGACGCATGTTCGACCAAGGAGAGCGGACTAGAAGTTTTGAACTTCGATTCATCTACTCGCTTGTTTAATTAGTTGTTTTGAGAGTCATTTGGTTTRTCTCCTAATTTCAAATGGGAAATTTCGATGAAAACTAGTCGTGTATAATGTGATAATTGTGTTAGATTAACCAGTTTGGTCCTGATTTCMCTCATGACGTCATACGCGGACAGATGCACTATGGGATTGCTATGATTTTTTTAGTGTTTTACCATAGTATCAAAGGTTAACCTGTACTCATGTTAGTGACCTTCTTGTAGAGAGTAAAATACACAAAGCAATGTATTCATCACGTGACACTTTTCTTCCTTAGGATGATCTGTCATTCAAAGAAAACGAAATGCAAAAGTCACAMGCCACTGCTTCATCGCTTGCTTCTGGTAATCAATGGCTATTCTCATATTATGATTATTCTCAACATGTAAATGCAACAGGAAGATCCTGACTGAAAACCTGCTTAATAACCATAGTATTATTTACGCAGTACGTATTTTTGACTAGTGATTTTGTTCACTTTTMTAGAACATGCTCGCCTGCAAATGGACTTAGAGAAAGTTGAACAGGTAATACTTTAGTCAAAGAAAAAAAGAGTACAACACTGTTTATTGTGAAGTGTCTCTGTGATTGAAAAACCTGACCAAGAAGTCAGCTTTCASATCAGACAGCCTGTTCTATGTGAACATTTTGTCTTCATGATTTAGGCGTCAAGCAAGTTGTACTTTTGATCGAAATATATATATTATATTCATCCATGGCCACTCTCTCTGACTTAACTTAGACCTTGACCTTAGACCTTAATCATGATCGATTTTTAACTCAGAGAGGAGGTCTAGTGGGCGTGCA